CACGTTTGTCATGAAAATAGGCTAACAGGTCTGAGTAAATCTGAAGTCCTTTCATCCCTCTGTCCATCACTTCAGCGCTAACCCCCTCCCCAGGCCATGCCCTTGACCGTTGAGGATGGCAGCAGCCGCTGGAAAGGGGGGAATGCTTCTCTCTAGAGTCAGATTCTTGGTCTGGCTGTCCAGCCTGCAGCCCCATTTCTGCGGCCAGCCAAGCACAGGTGAAATCGTGGAATCCTTCCTTCCCACCATCCTCTCCTTCGGCAACAGGCTACGGTTCGTTGGAGAAAGTCATGTGGCTGCAGGGGCTGGTGGCCAGGGTTTTGAAGGGGCCTTTGAGAGTCAGGATAGGACTAGAGTGAAGAAAGGTAAGCTTCAACGCTCCCCAAATTCTTCGCCCGGGGCCCCAGTTCTCAGGGCTGCAAGTCAAGCAGCCACACCTGTGGCCTCCCCACAGGTGACCGCAGACCAGCTGCATGAGTGGGTCTTTCTTGAGTCATCTTGTCCAACTGTCTGACCACTAAGAGTTTGGTATCTTGTCATGTTCTCTGAAGATCCAGACTGTGGTACTCATATGATAGTCACTCACTCTGTGTGTGTGTGTGTGTGTGTGTGTGTGTGTGATTCTCTTCCTTCTTTCTCCTTCTCATAGATAGATATATCTGTCCAGGCCAAGATAGGATACACTTCGTCAGCCCCTTGTCCAAATCCTTTCTCCAAGTCTCCAGAAAAGCAGCTCTAACTGGGACTTTTTCTATAGGAGCAGACTCCCTACCTACCCTCCAGCTCTCTCCCAGGAGATCACTGTCCCCCAAATCTGTGGAAAAGATACACCCCCTCTTCTGATGGGTGTTGAGGGGTGATGTCCCTCCATATCCCAATAAAGCTATGGGGAGATATGGGCAAGGGTTCTCACGGCCTGTTCTTGCTATAAAAAGTCCTTTTTCGGAAAAAAAATAATAAAGAAAGAAATCAGCCAATCCCTCCTCAATGCCATCACCTCTTCTTGGTGATTTTTCGGGGAAGGAGTGGGCGGGTTGCTATGGCAACAGATGCGAGCTCCTCTCAGTAAAGAAGGGACCTTGATATTTTTTTTCTCCCATTCTCTCTCTTGGCTGTGTGTGTGTGTGTGTGTGTGTGCGTGCGTGCATGCATATGCCATACATGCCTGTGCCCACACCAGGAAATTTTTTTTAGAACTAAAGAAAATCCTCTTCCCTCAGCTCCCCAAATATGGAGTGATGAAAGCCACTTCTCCTGCAGGCCAGAGAAGATTCGGGACTATTCAAGGGAAAAGGAAGTGGTCATATGGGGTTCCTTTCTTCCATCATTTTTACTAGAGATTGCACACAGCAGAAAGGAGTTCACAAATGATGGGGGTCCATGGGCTGGAAAGAAGAGAAGATGCTGGGTGGAGAGAGGGACAGGTGATGCAAGAGCCCAACAGTGACATCAGAGAGGACGGCGACCGAAGGTGCATTGAGGCTGGGGACACATGCAAATCCCTACGGCATGGGATGCTGCGAGAGGAAGGCCCAGGGCAGACTCAGACGTGGACACAAGCACACATACACGGACAAAGTGGCACACAGAAAGCTGCAAAATAATAAAAATACATCCAGGCAGGCACAAACATAGACCTACATACAACACAAGAAGTCCTAGACATTCTTACTAGAGACAGGCATAAATACATAGGGATACAGACACACCACTACAAAGACATGTGCACACAGACAAAAAAAACGTACAAATGCAGTCATGGTGAAATGGACAGCCACACACGCACACAGGCACCCTCTCACAGTCTGGCTCCCTCCCTTGAATGGCCAGAGCGTACAGCCAAGTGGCAGTGCATGGCTGGGAGTGCTGCAGGCTCACCCACAGGGTTTGGCTGGAGTGCTCCCACTCTCTATTTCTTCTACATACTCACTCCCAAGCCCCTCTCTCAGTTCGCTCCCTTGCCCACTTTCCTATAGCCTATGGGCTCTGTCACCACCCCCACCTCGGGCTTCCAACGCTTAGCCTGTTCTGCTGCTGCTGCTGCTGCTGGGGTGTGGGGGGGAGGAGTGGGGTGACTCAGCCAGGCTGGGATGACTCACACTGCCAGTATTTTTAGCAGCAGCCAGGAGCTCTCTAGTGTGCCAGCCGCCCCCCTTCTCCTGCTTGCTATTTTGGAACTGTCACTGGTGATATAAATAGCTCCTCTCCCACGGCCTGCAGCTTCTGCCAGGCTATTTTTGGTTCTTCTCTGTTAAAAATAGCTCCGTGGAGGTGGGAGGAGAAAGGAGTGGGAGCTAGCCTAGGGAGAGGAGACATTGGGGCATTCAGCGCGCCTCGACTTGAATCAGAGTGGGCGAACTAGGATGAACCTTTTTTCTGCTCCCTCTTTTGTCCGTTTCTAGACCATTCTTCCCTTCCCGAGTATCTCTCTTTTCCCCAGTCTAATCTCTTGGAAAAATCCAAGAGCTCTTCCCTTGCAGCCCATTCTCCCCTCATGCTTCCTTCACTCCTAGAGCTCAGAAATCTTGGCCCCTGGTACCCTCTCCCATATTCATCCTCAGAGGAAGAGGGGGCATCCCCCTGGGACCTCATTCTGAGGCCTGTGTGGTCTCAAGCTCTTACTTGGATGTCCCAGGCAGACCATGGCCAATATGATGTCCCTGGTGAGTTTTCAGAACCTCGGACAGCGACCAGAACACCGTTCTGTCACAGTCAATGTTCTGTTTACTGAGGACCAGCTGGGCCCGACCAAGAGACACTGACCATGGAGAGGGACACTAAGAATGTCTCCCCGTCAGGGCTAGAGCAGTGCGTGAAGAAAACAGGAAAACTGCCCTGGATCTTCTTACAAGAAGGACACCCACAGATCAAGGGCTTGTCCATAGGAAGCCTAAGGGAGGGGTGGGTGAGCACGTCAGGAGTCAGATAGGGTGACAGTGGACCCATTGCTCTGTCCCCCAGATACATAGGGTTGGGGAGTGTGCAGTCACACCCATCCTTCCCCTCCACTTCAGATGGCTGGTGGGAATGTCCCCAACATCTGCCAAAATGGCCCGAGCGGCCGGCCACCCTTCTCCTTGGCTGTCTCCTCCTCCCAGTCTGCCCCTCTTGCCACTGCCCTTTCCCACAAGGAGTGAGGAGTCCCTTGACCCCAAACTTCACTTCTTGCTGTCAAAGTGTATCTCTACCCTTCCTGTGGGACTGTCTGCAATCAGGCCGGCCCCTCTCTCCCAATTCCGAAGTGACCTCATTCCCAGCCCCTCCAGTGATTTCACACAAGCCCCCCACCCCCGTCTTCCAAGTGAGACTTCGCATAAACGGTCCCCTAGCCCACCCCTTCTTCGTCTATAGGATTCTGGGGGGAAAGAAAGGAACCCCTCGGCCCCCGTAGAGAGCAATCATCGGTGCTGAAAAGAGAAAAAAGGAAGAGGGAGATGGGGCCAAGGAAACAAAACCGACAAAGAACGTTCGGGAGAGCAGGAGGGGCCTGAAGGTGTGGGGAGTGGAGGGCGCAGGAAGCTGGGACGAGGCGAGGAGATACAGAAAGTAGTTCAGAGGGGGGGGGGCGGTGGAGAGGGGAAGGTAGAGAGGCTGAGAGAGGAGTCCTAGCACCGAAGGTGGAGAGGGGTCTGCAGGGGTGTGGAGGGCAGCCTGGCAAGCCAGGGGGTCCGCGGTGGGGGCAAGGATCTCTCCTGGAAGGTCCAGCTCGGCCCCCACGCTCCTCTGCTGCTTCCCCATCCTCCCGGCCGGAGGCGGAGGGGGGGCCTCGGAGCGCTGCGGAGGCAGCGAGGCTCCGCCCGCCGCTGCGCCGCGGCTCACGCCGGAGGATTCCTCTCCATATAAGGAGCTGGGATTCCCCGGGCCCGCCCCGCGCCCGCCCCCGGCCCGCGGGAGACACCGGCCTGCAGTCGGGCGGGGGCGGGGGCTGGAGGGGGGGGCTCTCACTTTGGGGCGCACAAGGGCGCATGGGGAGGGGAAGGGATGCCTAGGGGCAGACTCAGACCCTCACCATGCCCGGGGCCCTGCCTCAGTTTCCCTCGCCACTGGCTGAGGTTAATTCGTTGACAGGAAAACGCGGAATCCCTGCAGCCTGCAGCGCAGGTGCTGCTGTTTCTGTTCTTGGCGGAGGGAAGACAGGACCAAGGCCAAAGTCAGCCGTCCCCTCTTCCTCAGACCCCCTTTCCCTCCACCCTGGGGCTCAGACCCCACCCCGAGTGGCTCTCCTGATAAAGCCCGAGGCCTGGCTCTGGGTGGTGGGTAGTGGGGGGGGGATGGAGGGTCATTCTTTGAAAGTGACTAAGGGAATCCCAGCCTCAGGAATCCCTAGAGAGAAACCCTCGCTGTGACCTGTCCCTCGCGTGAAGGTGTCGCCTGGCCAGCAGCTAGGAAGGTGGGGGGGGGGTGCTTATGACATCCATGCCCTCCCTCCCCATTTTCTTATCTCCTTTAACAATCTAGTCGGAACCAGCCCCTCCTGGCCCTCCCTCTGCAGCCTCAGCCCTCGCCTTGGCGCTTCCCTGGGCTGAACACACTCGGACTCCCCGGGTCCTCGCACCCCCTTCCCAACGCAGCATCTGCCCCTCAGCTCGGCCGCCGCCAGCCCCAGCCCCCTCCGCAGCAGCCTCCTTCCCCCCCTCCCGCCGGCACCCCTCCTGCTCTCGCTCTACGTCACGGGATGACGTAGGAAGCCGGGGAGGGCGGAGGAGCGCCTGCCAGTGGCTCCTGCTGCAGTTCGCTAAGCCCAGCCTCCCGCCCTCCCGCCCCCCCTTCTCAAAAGCGTGCCCCCCACGCCCGCAGGAGCTATATAAGGCGGGACGAGGCAGCCGCCGGGGGCAGCGCAGCGGAGCGGAGCCCAGGAGAGGAGAGGAGAGAGCCAGCCGGAGCGAGAGACGGGCAGCGAGGAGGAAGGAGCCGCCGGCTTCGGGACAGGACCGGCTTCGGGACAGGACCGGACCGCAGGTGCTCGGAGCGCCGGGGCTGGAGCTCCGCGGCCGCCAGGCATGTACCGCTCCACTAAGGGCGCCTCCAAGGCGCGCCGCGACCAGATCAACGCCGAGATCCGGAACCTCAAGGAGCTGCTGCCGCTGGCCGAGGCGGACAAGGTCCGGCTGTCCTACCTGCACATCATGAGTCTCGCCTGCATCTACACTCGCAAGGGCGTCTTCTTCGCCGGAGGTGAGCAGCCCGGGGCTCTTCAGGGACCCGAGCTGGCGGACCCCGGGGACAGCGGTGCTCAGGGGTCCCTCCGGGGCCGCCGCATGTCTGGGGTTGGTGAGCTGGGAGAGAAGGGATCAGGGACTAAGCTTTTCCTTCCGAGCTCTGTCCAGACTTCAGCTTAGTTCTGGGTGGAGATGGAGAGGCTGTGTCCCTGGCGCCGGACTCAGGAAAGGGAGAGAACCGGGACAGAATGGCCCGGGTTCCCAGCCGCGCAGAGGCGCGCCGGGAGCCTGGAGAGGAAAGCCCGGGAAGTTGCAGGGACAGAGTCGCCAAAGCCCGGGGCGAGCGCAGCCCCCGGGGGCGATGCTGAAAGGGCTTCTGCCCCTCTGGAAGCGCTGTCCGCGGTGCTGACGGCACCGCCCGGCTGCGAGGCGCTGTCCGCGGTGCTGAACGCCGCGGCGCCGCTGTAGCGCTGTCCGTGGTGCTGGCACTCAGAACGGCAGAAGGCTCGGCCTGACTTATAAGTCCAGCAACAGGTTCCCTAGGCGAGAGGCACGGGCAGACCCAATGAGCAGCAGGTGTGTGCAGAGGCAGGCCCATGAGAAATTCCTCTGGGTTTTCTAACGTTCACCCATGCCTTCCTCACTTCTGCTTTGCCTCCCAGTCTTGCTCCTGACTCACCGTGTCTTCTCATCCCACAGGTGCTCCTCTGGAGGGCCCCACAGGCCTTCTCTCAACTCAAGAGCTTGAAGACATAGTGGCCGCGCTCCCTGGCTTTCTGCTTGTGTTCACAGCCGAGGGGAAGCTGCTGTATCTGTCTGAGAGTGTGAGCGAGCACCTGGGCCACTCCATGGTGAGTGCTGAGGGAACCCAACGAGCTTTCTGCTTCTGAGAAGCTGAGATTACTTGGAAGCAAGGTTTACACACCGCAAGATGCGTTTTGTGAAGGATTGGCTCTTGATGCCTTCACTAACGATCATCTCTTCATCTTTCTCCAGGTGGACCTGGTTGCCCAGGGTGACAGCATCTACGACATCATCGACCCAGCTGACCACCTAACTGTGCGCCAGCAACTCGCCCTGCCCTCTGCCCTAGACACTGGTGAGCTCTCCTTTCTCTCTTCCTCAATGCAATCTCCTGTCTGCTGCCTTGCTCCTCCCCATCTGCCATCTCTCTCGGCCACTTGCCTTCTTATCAGTGTTTCTCTTCACTCACCTAGATCGCCTCTTCCGCTGTCGCTTCAACACCTCCAAGTCCCTGAGGCGCCAGAGTGCAGGCAACAAACTGGTGCTTATTCGAGGCCGATTCCACGCTCATCCACCTGGAGCCTACTGGGCAGGAAACCCTGTGTTCACAGCCTTCTGCGCTCCCCTGGAGCCGAGACCCCGCCTTGGCCCTGCTTCACTCTTCTTAGCCATGTTCCAGAGCCGTCATGCTAAGGACCTGACCCTACTGGACATCTCTGAGAGGTAAGCTCAGAGTGTGTAGACCCCAGGAAGAAAGTGGCCCAGAGATGAGGGGACCCTAGATTCTGGAGTCAAGGGCAGGGAGGATGGGACCTAAGGGAACAGAGGACCTGGGTGTGTGTGGGGGGAGTGAGATGCCTTGACAAGCAGGGAAAACAGAAAGCTGACCTCACCCTTTCCGCTTTCCCAGTGTCCTAATCTACCTGGGCTTTGAGCGCAGCGAGCTGCTCTGTAAATCATGGTATGGACTGCTGCACCCCGAGGACCTGGGCCACGCTTCTGTTCAACACTTCCGCCTATGTGAGTGTCCAGGAAAGCTGGGGACAAGGCAGGGAGCTGGGAAAGGGCATGGGAGAGCCTACCAGGAAGGTCTGGCCAAGGCCGATGCTGGGGAGGCACCAGAGGCCAGCAGTGTTGGATGCTATAAGGGTGCACAGTAGGGTGAGGAGTGAAGGTGAAAACAGCATCAGAACTGGGGGACTCCAAATGGTGAGGCCAAGGTGGGGAGCTGAGGGGTACAGGGTAGGTTAGTCAGAAGCGCATGCTATTGATCCCCAAACTCAGTGGAGAGGTCAGTGGGGTGATAGTTTAGGGGATGTTATATGACATGTGTCCTAACTCTGCATCTTTTTTCTTTCCCTTCAGTGGCCGGGAGTGGAGATATTCAGGCAGAGATGGTAGTGAGACTACAGGCCAAGCCTGGAGGCTGGGCATGGGTTTATTGCCTGTTATACTCAGAAGGTCCAGACGGCCCCATTACTGCCAATAACTACCCAATCAGGTGAGCCGTGAGGCAGGAGCCGAGGGTGGGAGGGCAGCGGAGGTGGGCCTGGGGGAGACACAGATCTGGGACCTGCTCTGGGAGTGGACACCAAATCCTTACTGGCTCTCTCTCCTCTCCTCTCCTCTCCAGTAACACAGAGGCCTGGAGCCTCCGCCAGCAGCTGAACTCTGAAGACACTCAGGCAACCTATGTCCTGGGGACCCCAACCCTCCTGCCCTCGTTCTCTGAGAACATCCGTTCCCGGGAGCAGGGCTTCAGCCGGAACCCACGCTTTACCCCGGCCCTAGGGGCCCCTCGGAGCACCCGCTTCCCCACTGCTCCTGAGATGGGTGCTGTCTCCACACCAGAAGAGCTTCCCGGGCCTCCCAAAGGGCGGGGCTTCCGCTGCCTGACATTTCCACCTCGCCCCGAGCCTTCTCTCCACGCCGACCTGAGCAAGGACCTCGTGTGCACCCCGCCCTACACGCCACACCAGCCAGGAGGCTGTGCCTTCCTCTTCAGCCTCCACGAGCCCTTCCAGGCCCACCTGTCCACTCCATCCAGCTCTCTCCCAGGACAGCTGACCCCAAGCGCCGTGACCTTCTCTGATCAATTGACACCCAGCAGTGCGACCTTCTCAGATCCACTGACTAGCAAACTGCAAGGCCAGCTGACCGAAGCCTCGGCCAGGAGCTTTGAAGAGCAGTTGACTCCCTGCACTTCCAACTTCCCAGACCAGCTGTTTCCCGGTGCTGCTGCCTTCCCCGAGCCTCTGGGCAGCCCTGCCCGTGAGCAGCTGACTCCTCCCAGCACAGCATTCCAAGCACATCTGAACAGCCCCAGCCAAACTTTCCCAGAGCAACTGAGTCCCAGTCCCACCAAGACTTACTTCGCCCAGGAGGGATGCAGTTTTCTCTATGAGAAGTTGCCTCCGAGTCCCAGTAGCCCTGGTAATGGGGACTGCACACTCCTGGCCCTCGCCCAGCTCCGGGGCTCCCTCTCTGTGGACCTCCCCCTGGTGCCCGAAGGCCTGCTTACACCTGAGGCCTCTCCAGTCAAACAGAGTTTCTTCCACTACTCCGAGAAGGAGCAGAACGAGATAGACCGTCTCATCCAGCAGATCAGCCAGTTGGCTCAGGGCATGGACAGGCCCTTCTCGGCTGATGCTTGCGCAGGTGGGCTGGAGCCACTTGGGGGGCTGGAGCCCCTGGACTCCAACCTGTCCCTGTCTGGCCCTCCTGTGCTCAGCCTAGACCTGAAACCCTGGAAATGCCAGGAGCTGGACTTCCTGGCTGACCCTGACAACATCTTCCTGGAAGAGGTGCCCGTGGAAGACATCTTCATGGATCTCTCTACCCCAGACCCCAGTGGGGAATGGGGCTCAGAGGATCCCGGGGCAGCGGTCCCAGGAGGGGCCCTGTCGCCTTGCAACAACCTGTCCCCAGAAGACCATAGCTTCCTGGAGGACCTGGCCACATATGAAACCGCCTTTGAGACAGGTGTCTCAGCATTCCCCTACGATGGGTTTACTGATGAGTTGCATCAACTCCAGAGCCAAGTTCAAGACAGCTTCCATGAAGGTGAGTCCAGCCGAAAAGCTCAAGCCCTCAAGTCCCTGTCCTGCCAGCGAGACACCGGGTGGAATCAGAGGAGTCAAGTCCCCTCTCTGTACCTCCACTTTACTAGTGGGATAATATTGACTGCTGCCCAGGGTAGCAGTGAGGATCAGGACTAATGAAAAATAATCTGGAAACTCTCGACAAGTAGGCCCGAAGGGCAGAGGTTAGGGGTGTGGGATAAATGCAAGAGGATCCTTCACTAATGGTCTCTCCTTAACTCTGTGAAGGACCTAGATCAGCCATTATCACCCCATTTTACAGATGAAGACAATCAAGGTCCCAGGGTGATGGGAGAGGCATTAGAGCCCCATCTCAGTATTCTTCCCCCTAGAGAGGATACAGACTGAGCATTTATAGGCATTAGGAAAAGTAAGAGGCTGTCTTGCTATGGCTCCATCCCTTGCAAAATTATAGCCAAGGTTTCACTCCATCTGTCCAAATTGCTCCCCTTTCTGCTGAACCTCTGGTGATCATCCAGTCATTGGGCCAACATATTTGAAGCCCCTACTGTTATATGTGCCGCATCCTCAGCCTGTGCTTCCTAACAGCCTGATTGTTCTCTCTCTCTCTCTGCAGATGGAAGTGGAGGGGAACCAACGTTTTGAATAAGTCTGTGACTTAACGTCGTCAAGTATGGCATATTGTCATCAAGACGTGGAGCTGCTCTCCACCCCCCCAGGGACCGTTGGGGGGATTCTAGGGGCTGGAGGGGGATATATCTGATTCCCCAGGCCCTACAGGATTGGGTACGGGGGGAGGAGGGAGGGCGAGGGAGGGGAGCTTCTTTTTCAACTTTAGAAACTTCCAGCGATCCCAGTTTCCATTTCAATCTGTATTCACTCGTAGTGAGTTTCCTTGAATGGGATTTCAAGTGGAGAATGGGGGAGTCTCCCTTACCCCCAGTGCTGCCCCATGGGCTCGGGCCAGTTCTCCGCTCCCGGGGGCCAAGCCACCCCTGGGCCTGGGTAGGGGAAAGGCACCACCCACTCGGGCCGGCCTGTGCCCCGAGGGGCTCTTGACACCACGTAGAATTCTCTACACACCAGTAACGGGATTTCAATTCCGACGGACTGCCGCCCCGGCGGCCCTTCTTGTGACTTTTGCGCCCCGCACCTGGGGTGGGGGGCGTGAAGAGACGCTACGTTTCTTTCCGATGGAGGAAGGCAGACCTGCCGCTGTCACACGTGTGCTTGCACGAGAGCGTGTACCCGGTGCAGGACTCACCCGGCTGCCAGACTGCCTGGGCCTGCCCAGGTGGCCACCTCGTGGTGCTGTGGTGACTTTGTAGCCAACTTTATAATAAAGTCCAGTTCGCCTTTTTGGTATGCCCAGCGTCATGCTGTGAAGAGGGGAGGGTGGGGGCCCGAAAGGGTTGGGAGGCCCAGGGGGGGGAGTGGGGGTCTGGGCCTGCAGAGGGCTCGGCGTTTCTTGGGTCACTCGTTCGCTCTTGCCTTGGCTCATGCGACACCTGAGTGCACAGTGTGCCGTCCACCCTGTGCTGGAAGCCGGAGAGTTTGGAGCTGGAACAACAGAGGCCACAACTTGCCTTCACAATGCCAGAGGGTCTGGCGTCTCCTCCGCATTGGGGCTGGGAGTGCTCTCCGTGTGGGAGGAGCATCAGGGCCTGGGGTGGGTAGCGGGCTCCGCTGGCATTTCCCGGGGGAGGGGTTTGAAGTCTCAGGACATGAGTTTATTTCTTCGGCTGGTCCTGCAGGGACACAGCTTCCCCCTGTGGCTGCTGGAAATGACCACCGCCCTGCGTGGGCCCTTCAGCTGACACACACGTTTATATCCCTCCCTCATATCCCTCCCTCACCGCAGTGAGGCCTCTGAACAGGCCTGCGAGCAGATCCCCCAGCTGGTGAGAACCATCAGTGGGCAACACGGCATCTGCATCCAAGCCCTGGGCTGAGTCCTCCGCCCCTAAAGCCCGTGAGCCACCATCTCAAATCATCCCATCCCAGAGATGGCGGCTTGAACTGGAGCGGGGAGCCTCTTCCCTCCAGGGCTGGATATTAAAGTTTTCAAAAATACCGCTTTCCTCCGAGCTTGAGGGCCCAACAGCATGGTAGGGGTGGGAATGAAAAGTAAGAGACAAAAAAGGCCTGGATTTAAATTCGCCAACTTTTTGCTGAGTGGAACCTGAGCCTCTGTTACTTCTCAGGTAAATTGGGGCTGGAGTCCAGCGGGTGTGGCTCAGTGGTTGTCTGTCTACTTATGAACCAGGAGGCTCAGGTTGTGGGGGTGTGCAAGAGGCAGCTGATCAATGAGTCTTTCTCTCCCTCTCCCTCCCTCTCTGAAATAAATATATATATAAATTCATATATATATATATATATATATATATATGAAAAAAGGATTTCGCTGGTGATTGGTGGAGGTGGTGGGTGATAGGAGAGAACGCGCGTTATTGCTGAGAAGGCAGGTGACTTCAGAAAGAGACCCTGGCCACCAAGTTGGTTGGAGAGGAAAAAAATAGAAGAGCCAATAGCTCCACCTGCTGGACAGAGAAGTAACTGCTTCTGTCCCTCTCAGAGCTTCAGAGCTTAGAACAGAAGGACATACTGAGGCCCAGGGAGAGGAAAGAACTTGCCTAGTGGCACCCTCACATCGGACTCTCAGCCGGTTCTCTTCCTACCGATACCAGACCCTGCCCTGGGAGCAGAATGCAGGAAAAAGAGCTCGGGTTTTGGGGTCATGAAGACTGAGTTCAAGCGCTGGCTCTGCAGCCTCCCTCTTCATGTGATCAATAGTATTTCCACTATCTACATGCAGAAGTGTTCTGGGGGCTGGCGTTGCAACAGTGAACAAGACACAAGGTCGCTGGGCTCACAGAGCATGCATCCTAGCTGAGGGAGACATAACAGAAATTAAGTAAACAGTCTGCAAAAAGTGCATAGTATGTTATTCAGTAAGGGAAAGAACCATTCTCTGAAAGCAGGAACTGTGTCTTACATTTATCCTGTGTCCTCAGTAGTAGGAGCACTGAGCACAGTACCGGACAATAAGCCACTCAAAACTGTTTGTAAATGATGTGCATCCTAAGTTTGTGTATGTGTGATATATATTAAATGTTATATATTTATATTTGATTTATATTTTTAATATGTAATCATATATTAAATTAAATGATTTTTAGAGGAGGGAGAGGGATAGACAGAAACATCAATGAGAAACATCATCAACTGACTGCCTCCTGCACACCTCCCACTGGGGATCCTGCAACCTGGACATGTGCCCTTACTGGGAATTGAACTTGACCTCTTGAGTCATGCTCAACTACTAAACCATACCCAACGGGGCTGTGTGTGTGTGTATATATATATATATATATATATATATGCAAATAAAATACCCAACAGTTATTTTATTGCTGCTTCTGAGGACTTGGTTAAATAACCATGATCCGCTCACAAGACAAAACACTAAGCAGTCATCAAAAATTGCTTAAAGAAGGTAATGAAAAACCTTCTAAATAATTGCCAAGTTAAAGGTGAAATACAACAGCCCTACCTGGTTTAGCTCAGTGGATAGAACATCAGCCCACAGACTGAAGAGTCCCAGGTTTGATTCCAGCTAAGGGCACAGGCCTGGGCTGCCGGCTTCATCCCCAGTGGGGGCGTGCAGGAGGCAGCCAATCAATGATTCTCTTGCATCATTGATGTTTCTCTCTCTCTCTCTTTTTTCCTCTCTGAAATCAATAAAAAATATATATTTTTAGAAAAGTAAAATACAACAGTATCTAGAGTATGACACCACTTTATTTAAAAAAAAAAAACAAAAAACAAACCAGACACACATATAAATACATGCACATAGAAACAAAGAGTAGAAAAGATATATACCTAAATACTGGTAGGAGTCTCATCTGGGTGGTGGGATTCCCCAAACTGGAGTTATTTTTTGTGTGTGTTTTCCAAATCTCGGAGCAAACCAAAAAGACTAGCACGGTAACAGGTGTTCGGTAAACATGAATCCATTCCTGCCCCGACTCCTCCCCTGTTCTCCGCTGGGACAGTCCTTGAGGCTCTGGGCAGTGGGAAAACAAAGGCCAGGCTCCCTACGGTCTTCTCCGCCCGGGCAGGGACCTGCTGGAGCTTTGCTCTTCCGTGGGCCTGTAGCCACGAGCCCAGTAGTTCACATTCAGCTAGCATCAGGCCAGAGAGAGGACCAGCTCAGCGGAGGGGCCTGAAATAGCCCCTGGGATCTGGGGCACTTGTGCAGTAACACTGTTGGGGCTGTGACCCGACGTCACCACAGGGGTCTGTTTCTGTTGAACTGGCAAGTCCCCAAGAGTTAAGAAATGTTTCTGGCCCTAACCAGTATGGCTCAGTGGATAGAGCATCGGCCGGTGGATTGAGGGGCCCCAGGTTCGATTTCGGTCAAAGGCATGTGCCTTGGTTGTGGGCACATCCCCGGTGGAGGGTATGCAGGAGGCAGCTGATTGCTGTTTCTCTCTCATCGATGTCTCTCTCTATCCCTCTCCCTTCCTCTCTGTAAAAAAATCAATGAAATATATTAAAATAGGTTTCTGATTACAGCACAAGCAACATCTGCTGCTTCTGTACACACAGCCCCAGCGCTCCCAGCCCCCACCTGCCCTGCTCGTTTTGTCATCGGTGGGGAGGAGGGCTGCTACTCCGACCTCTGCCACCAACTCAACCTGGACAAGTTGCTCTGCTTGGCTGAGCGGGATCATGTATCTGAGAAGCAGCATCAAGAGCCCTGCTGCCTCTGCTGCCACCATCAGTACTGGTCCCCCCCACCCCCAGGGTCCTAAGACAGAACTCAGAGTGGGTGACAAAGATGTTTATTTAGGCTGAATCCCCTGATACACCCACAGGTGTAAAAATACATAAAATCTAAAGTCAGGGCGATAATGATCAGGTTGGTGTCATCCCCCCCTCTCCCCTTCGGCACAGCCTTTCCAGCGGCTCCCTTCCAATTCCGGAGTGTGGGGTCAGGGCTCACTTCTTGGCAGCTTCGGCCTGAGCTGCCAAATCGGCCTCCTTCTGAGCTGCCAAGAACACGGCTCGCTCCTTCTGGAAGGCCGCCAGCTCTTCCGCGCTGAGGCTGCGGGCACGGGAACAGACGGTGCGTGAGCGGTGACGCCATCGGCTCAGAAGCCTTTCTCCCCTCCTGGACTTCGCATACCTCTGCTCCTCTGTCCCCTCCCCATCCTCACCACCTCTGCCTTTTGTTCCCTTCTTTAAGCCCTACGGTCCTTTGAGGCCCCGGCGACATCTCAGCCCAGGTCAACGGGCTCTCCCTCTGAGCAAAACTATGCAATAAAGCTTCCGGGCACGTGTTTCTCCCCCTGGACAGGGATAGATGTACGCATTTCCATGCTCTCAGCAAAAGTAAAGATTTGAGAAAAGTGACGCCCATTCTTGTTCCCTGCTGAACCCCACTTCTCCTGGGAAACAACCGGCAGCCGAAGGCAAGGAAAGGGTTGAGTGCGGGCCCAGCTGTTGTCTGGGCCAGACGCCCTCTCACCTAACATCTCCCTTCAAAGACACAGTTCCTGAGGTCACCTGAAGCCCCAAGGTGGGGCCCCCTGCTGGCCGGCCTCTCTCAGCTATTTCCTATTCTGCCTGCAACGCCG